ACACACACACACACACACACACACACACACATGAGCGTGCACATTCACACCCAACTGTTTAACAGGACCACACAGAGGTCTCAAGAGGCATTTGTCTGCTTCCTCCCCCACCCCCCAGCTGGCAAGACATCTGTCCCTTCAAAGCCTAGGGAGGGGTTGTGGTTGGGAAAAATAAGCTTGGCTTAGCTCCCCCGTCTCTCTGTAGATGTGGTGCCCCCTAGCGGAGTCGTTATGAAGTGCCCCATCTCACCATCTCCAGCCTGCAGGAGCTGTGGATTTTTGTCCAGACCTTCCAAAGCAGCCTGTCTTGACTATGCTGTGTCCATTCCTGCCACAGGCAGCTGCTTCTAGCCCTCAGCAGCCTGAGCTCTAGGGCGGAGTGTGCTTTGGTAGGCTCAGGGAGGCCTGGCCCGGCAGCCACCCTCATCTCCTGGAGGAGCCTGTACTCTTTCTAGAGCCTCTGTGGACAGAGCTTTGGACGTCACTGAGCCCCTGACTGTGGTCCTGGGCCACTGTGCCCGTAGAAGGTCACCGACACGCTGAGCATTTTGTAAGCAAGGTGTGCGCAATGGTCTCCTCTACACACATTGGTCTCCTCTACAGGTCCCTCCCTGGCTGGGGGATCAAATCCTCCCTGGAAATGCCCTCACAACAAACCCGGAGCTGAGATTTACTAGTCCCCTAAGTATTTATCTATTTATTTATTCATATTTTATATGCTTTGGTGTTTTGCCTACATATATCTGTGTGATGGTGTCAGATCCCCTGGAGCATCTCTCTAGCCCTGAGTATTTCTTTTAAAAAATAATATTTTTTTTTAAATTTTATGTGCGTCGGTATTTTGCCTGCATGTGTATCTGTGTGAAGGTGTCAATTCCCCTGGACCTGGAGTTACAGACGGTTGTGAACTGCCATGTGAGTGCTGGGAATTGAACTCAGGGCCTCTGGAAGAGCAGCCAGTGCTCTTAACCTCTGAGCCATTTCTCCAGCCCTGAGTATTTCTTATTCCAATCAAGCTACAGTATAAGTCATTGCGGACCCTGAACCAAGCAGACTGTGTACCTGTTTCATCCCCATCCTATCATAGGAGCAAACCAAAGACAAACAAAACCTCTCTTTTCCCTTGAGTTGTTTTACAAGTTACAGTCACCCACAGACAAGAGGATTCTGCAAAGGAGATCCACCTTCTAGAAAATCCCACCCTGACCCACAGTGAGTGAGTGTGCCATGACCTCTCCGAGTCCGAGCACTCGGTTTTTCTCCTAGGTCAGTTGGTCAGGGTGACTTCCCAGGACCTTCACCAGATGCTCATTCATGGTTGATGGCACCTCAGTTCCAGAGATCCTGGGGGTGCGGGGGTGGGGGGCTCTGAAATTCCATTTTGTGGTTCCAAGGGTGAGACTCTGGAAAGAAGTTCCCATCCCAGGCATCCCATCAACACAATACTTAACACGCCCCCAAAGTACGACCAGCCACCTGTTGAACAAAGCCACACCCCCACAAACCACTCAAGGACAACTGTGATTGGTAGAAGTAGTGCGGCGAGAGCGTGTAGGCGGGGACAAACGCCCTTCGCTGGCGCCTCGCCTGGACTCGTCTTGCCCATACATTGACAGCTGCAGAATTCTGCAGACCAACGTTTCACTTCCTTTAAGCCTCGGACTCCAGCTCCTTGCTTCTTTGGAAATCGGACCCTCCAACAGGGCCGGTTCCAGTCTGCTGCTCTCTCCCTGGTTCTTCCTCACTGTGGCTAACGTAGACATTGAGACTGTCCCTGGAAGTCTTAGACTGGGTCTTCTCTGGTCGTTTTCCACATAAAAGCAGGAGGAAGCTGTTCCTCCCTCCAGGTGTATGATCTGTTTGGTCGGTTTGGTTTTCTGAGACAGGGTCTTTCTGTATAGCCTTGACTGTCCTAGAACTGGCTCTGTAGCCCAGGCTGGCCTGGAACTCAGAGATCCGCCTGCCTCTGCCTCCCGAGTGCTGGGGTTAAAGGCATGTGCCACTACCGCCCAGCCTAATTATTACTATTGGACATTGAATAATGTTCTATTCTCATTCTTTCACTATAACACCGTGGGACCAGAGGACCACTCAGTGGGTGAAGAGCACTGACCGTTCTTGCAGAGGACCCAGTTCTAGTCCCAGCACCCACATGGTGGCTCACAGCCATCTGTAACTCCAGTTCCAAGGGATCCGGTGACCTCCTCTGGCCTCTGCAGGCATCAGGCCCACATATGATGTACTGACATACATGCAGACAAAACACCCATATGTATAAAAAACAAGCAAGTAATTAATTAAAAAATAACACTGTAGCCGGGCAGTGGTGGCACATGTCTTTAATCTCAGTACTCGGGAGGCAGAGGCAGGTAAATCTCTGAGTTTGAGGCCAGCCTGGGCTACAGAGTGAGTTCCAGGACAGGCTCCAAAGACAGAGAAATCCTGTCTCAAAAAACAAAAACAAAAAAAGGTAAAGCCTCCATATGTACACACAAGTACGCACACTGGCACACACACACACACACACACACACACACACACACACACACACACACACGAACAAATAAAAACCCAAAGACAAAAGGAAGAGTCCCCACTGAGGGACAAATAGGAAGGGAAGGGTGGAGGGTCCGACAACTGAAGGAAGATAATCGTGGACAGGGAAGGAGCTGGCGAGTCGCCTCCTCCAGAACTCTCCAGAGCTCAGGCAGCCATTTGGGAACTTCCCACCTTTGTATGGCGATGGTTTGATTTCCAAGACATTTGAATAGGGCACACCAGTTTCCCCTCAGCCCTGTGTTCTAAATGCAGGGTTTTTTTTTTTTGTTGTTGTTGTTGTTGTTGTTTTTGGTTTTTCGAGACAGGGTTTCTCTGTGGAGCTTTGTGTCTTTCCTGGAACTCACTTGGTAGACCAGGCTGGCCTCGAACTCACAGAGATCCGCCTGCCTCTGCCTCCCGAGTGCTGGGATTAAAGGCATGTGCCACCACCGCCCGGCACTAAATGCAGGTTTTACACAGCATCTTTCCAGGGCTTCTCTGTGGGAATGCCGACGTAGAAGGAGGAGGCTGGTGTTTAAGTGGGGAATCCCCCAAAGCAGACCCCGTTGCCAGGAGCTGGAAGGCAAGCTCCATGACCAGTGGAGAAAGGACAAGGACAGGCTACAAGCCAACAAGGCACACACCCTGGAGTGGGCTGGCATGGGTAATGTGGGTGATGTGCGCTAATGTCCATAAGGTGCCCCCAAGAGAGTCTCTATGAGACACACCTTGGCCAACCCCAAGGAATACCCCCTCCCTTATTGCTGGAGGCTTCCAAGTCTCCTGGCCTGTCTCACCTGTGGGTAGAAAATGTGGAGAGCCAGGAGAGTGTGGGAACCAGTTGTGGAGGACCTGGTTTGGGGGGAGGCAGGAACAGACTCTGCAGTTGATTCTCTCACTCTCTCTCCCCCTACACACACATACACACACACACACACACACACACACTCTCTCTCTCTCTCTCTCTCTCTCTCTCTCTCTCTCTCTCTCTTTCTCTCTCTCTCTCTCATGGCGTGCACACTCCACAAATATACAAGCATATACCTATGGTTTGTGTACCTGTATGGAACTAGGGATGAACCCAGGGCCTCACGGAGCCAATGAAGCTACTTCCTAGTCCTGGACATGTGATTTAATAATTTAAAAAAAAAAAAAAAAAAGATCTTGTCATCCATATTAATCTTCAGGAAGACCTGACCAGAGATGGAGTCTGCAGTGAGGAATCCAAGCACAAAGGTCACCAAGGGAAATCTTTAAAAATTAACACAAAGGGGCTGGAGAGATGGCTCAGTGGTTAATAGATGGTTTCAATTCCAAACACCCACACCAAAGCTCACAGTCATATGTAACGCTTATCCAGGGGGTGCAATACCCCTTCTGTCCTCCAGGGGCACTAGACACACATGTAGTATAAAGCCACACACGCAGCCAAAACACCAAAACACAGAAGAGAAAATTAAAAATTAAAAACAAAGGCAATAAGATCCTACTGGTCTTTTTCAGTCCACTCTCTTTGACATCTTCCCACATCAATATAGATATGCAGTGGCTGAGCAGTAGTGTATTGAGAGGCTACACACACACACACACACACACACACACACACACACAAGCTTTGAGAATTGGGGCTCTTGGGGCTCTGGTTATGAATCAATTGATTGATAAAACATTTGCACTCATGAAGCCCTGCCCAGCACCCCATAAACAAGGTGTGATGAGACATACGTGTAATGCCAGCATTTGAGAAAGGTAGGTGGGGGATCAGGAGTTCAAGGGTGTCTGTCCTTGGGCACATTTGGAAATTGAGGGCAGCCTAGGGTACCTGAGACTCCACTTTTACACTGTGGTGTAAAAAGTAGCGACCTCTATGGGAATGGTTTCCCTTCTGGCTGATCTGCAGGGCACAGTGACTTCCCCTTGGGTTGTTTTGCTGTTCTCTTCACCTAACCCTGAAGCTGTCACTGGGTCCCTTTGTCCCCTTCCTAATATGGCCACATGAATCAATCTCCTTTTTCTACATTTTTACCATTATTTATTTATTTATTTATTTTTTTACTTTTTTGATTCTGGAACTCACTCTGTAGACCAGGCTGGCCTAGAACTCAGAGATCCACCTGCTTCTGCCTCTGGAAGTACTGGGATTAAAAATGTGTGCACCACCTAAAAAAGCGAATTTGTCTTTTTAATCAGTTTATCGAAGGTGGCTGTCCAGGGCTGAGAGGGCAGAGGCCCTGACCCTGATAAATCCAGTAACAATATCTCCATCAGACAGGGACAAAGGGGGACCTGGGAATGTTCCTTCTGCACTCCAGGACTGTGGAAAGGGGAACAGAAGTGGAGAATGGGTGTGTGTGTGTGTGTGTGTGTGTGTGTTTGTGTGTGTGTGTGTGACTTTGGTGTTAATCCCAGCTTCCTGTCGGGACTGTCCTGACTGCTGCTCAGGGCCTGTCTTCGGATGTCACAGCTGCGGAAATAGATCTCCCCTCCTCACCTGTTCTTAAGCAATAGACACTTGGCTAACTTCCTGTCAGAAGAATGCATGCTTTGGAAACACAAGACGGTGTTGGGGACTCCTGAATGCCCACCTTCCCCTCCGCTGAGGGAGCAGAGAACAGCTCAGCTTTTGAGGAACTGAGTGGATCTGCTGGGGAGACATAAAGACCCCCAGGCACTGTGGGCCAGAGGCGCAGCCTGTCCAGTGAATTTGCCCAGTGTCTGCCTGGTCCCCCTCCAGAAACCCCTGGGTCCTTAGGACTCCCCTCTCCTAAGAGTGATTGACAGAGTGACAGTGAGCGGGTGCTCTGCCCTCCTCACCTGCCTCACACATTCATGCCAGGTCCTGTACAATTTTCTATTCCTATGGGACCAGGAAACCAAGTCACCCTAGCTTCTCACTCAACAAACATGGGTCCCCCCCAGGGTTAGTATCAGCGCCAGGAGAAGTCTGGGGAGCCCCACACAGGGGCCTGAAGGTGGATCTCCAGAAGAGAGATCTGAGCCTCCGAATCCCCAAAGACCCCACAATCCGGGAGACGAGAGCCAGGGTGAAAAGACCCCACAATCCGGAAGAGGAGGGCCAGGGCGGAGACTTGGGCCGTTTCCCAGACACCAGGCATCCTGGGCTGGGCGGGTCAGTGTACTCCTGGGAGGAGCCCTCCCTGGCGTCCCCAGAGCTGCCAAGGTAACTGACCGGCTAGGCCATGGCCTCCCTCGGGAGTGGGAGCTGGAGCGGCGCCCCATTACAGAGTGCAGCCCCCACGGTGAGGCCTGAGCCCAGGAGCACAGCTGTTGATTGGGAGGTGGGGTGGAGGCAGCGGAGCTGGCATGGGGGTAAACTCTGGGGAGAAGGGAGGTCCCAAACCGAGAGGAAGAGACCGGACTGGGAGGAGGGAGGCCATGAGGGGCAGAGACCCGGAGGGTGAAGTGGGGGGGCTCCCGACATGCCTCACCCCTCTTCTCCCTCGCTTGGCTGAGTCTCCCCACCCATGTCCCCAGCCCTGGGTGACCATCTTGCAGCCTTGTCCTTGGACCGTCCCGTCTCCTCTGCCTCAGCCTAGCCGAGTCAAGGAAGGTAACTCCCCTGGGTGGCTCTCCTGACTCCCCTCTGCCGCACACACCTGAGGCCTCCCTCCCCGAGCTGGTTACCTCCTGTATAAATGCTGTGGGGTGGGAAGGACGGAACGGGGTGGAACGGGGTGGGGGCCGGCTGGGTCTGTTGAAACCTGTTCCCCAGACCTGCTGGAGCTCATGATGCTGCAGAATGCCCAGATGCAGCAGCTGCTGCTGAGTCAGCTGGTGGCCGGAGCCCTGAACCCAGGGCCAGAGTGGTCCAGCCCACAGGTGTGTGAAGGTGGGGCCCAAGGTGCCGCTCTATCTGGGGGGTCCCCCACCTGGAGAAAAGAGCATAGAGTAGCAGCAGGAAGCTATCCCACACCCCTGTCTAGCTGAGTCCCTTTGCCGGCTACTGTGTGCCAAGGCCTGGTGTCAGCTTCCAATAGGAAGGGAGTTCCCAAATCTCCACTACCACACAGATGTTGTTTTCAAAGCTTTCCTTCTGGACATTTCTCTGTGTACCTCAGGTCCCAGGAGGGCAGGCACTGCTGGAGCCTGGTGCAGAACTCTTTTTAGGGGCTCAGCTGCTGTCTGTCAAACAAATGGATGGGTGAGGAAATGGCTAGGTAGGCTGTGACAAGCAGGTGTGGAAACGTGGTATGGGTGTACACCTGGTGAAGGAGCCGAGGAAGGGAAGGAGAGCCCTTGGGGGACCGCAGGTGGCCTTAGGACCGTCCCTCCAGAACCAGGTAAAATTCTGACCCAGGATGGAGGGAGTAAGGGGCGTGAGGTCTGAGAAAGGAGGACCCGATGGAAAAGGGGCTCTGGGAGACCAGGAGGGGTTCAAGGAGGGCTAGGTGAGGAGTTGAGGGAGGTGGAAATCTTGAGTCAGGGCTGCTAACCCTAGGCCCTCTGAGGCCCTGTGGTGAGCATCTCCCCTCCTCGAGGGGCCCAGAAAGATGCAGGAGCAAAGGCAGATTTACAGACTTCCGGTACCCACGCTGGAGTCGCTGGGATTCTCCCAGTGAGTCCCTGAACTGCCTCTTGTTAGCTCTCAGGGGATTCAGGTGAGTTGTTTCACCTCTTAGAGACTCAGTTCTCTCTGCAGAGTGATGGGGTGGCCGTCTCCAAAGCGCCTTGCCTGCACGCAGATAGACAGTAGCCTTTCCGCTGATGACCGCGTGCAGGAAATAGTGTACAGGAGATGATGGAGGTGGAGGAGGCGGAGCAGTGGGGGCAGGGAGGTCTGAGCCTGTGTCACACACACACACACACACCCCTTCGCTTTGCACACCCCCAGGTCTACACAGACAGCCAACAGGAACAGGTGGAGGAAGAGATGGAGACCCAGGAGCAGCAGCCTTTGGTGTTCCACCATCACTACTTGCCTTGCTCAGGGACCTCCTTGGGCCCCATGGCACTCTGGCCAGCCTCTTTCCTCCCTGTTCCCCCACACCAGCCTCCCTGGCAGGGTGCCCCGGGGATCCGGCGCCAGCCCCCTGCCTCCAGGCGAGGGGAGGTGTAAGTGAGACTGGAGGGGTTTGGGCGTGGCCAGGTCGAAAGAGCTGGCTTGGGGGTAAAGCCTCAAAAGCTGCCCTGGGCCTCTGACGTGGTCTTTCTTCTCTCTCTCTCATCTCAGGAGAGATGTGCCCCCACCCCCGCCCCCCAGTGCCACAGGGACTGTTGGTGCGGATGTACCCCCAGCTTCAGGTCAGTGGGGCCTGACCTGGGGCAGACTGAGATGGCAGAAGGGCCATGTGCTCTGTGGAGGGGGGCTCCTGCCAGTCACTGCCTGTCCCATTCTGTGTTCCTCCTTGGGGTCCACCAAGGCAGGGGGGAGCAAGCCGAGGGTTCTGTTTCTCTAGACTACTACGACGCTGAGAGCCTGCCATGAAGACAGACGTTCACCAGGCCTCACCAGCTCCTGCACAGGGCTGCCAGAACGCTGGAGCGACTCCGTGCCCATGCCCGAGACCTTCTGACCCACTCTGCCCCAGCCACGCACTCTACCCTGGGGCATCAGGCTCTCAACTCCACTGCTATCTGAGCTGGCTCTTCTGCATCGAAAGCTCCTTAGAGCCCCTCCCTGACCCAGAAGCCACGGAAACCCAATAGATCCACTGTTTCCTGTCTGGACCAGAGTCAGGCCCTGATACCAGAGCCCCAGCTGGCCTTTGCCCTCTCTCCTCTCTGTGGCTGCATCACCCTTGGGCCTGAAATAGGGCAAGGGAGAAGAGGGTGGCTTGGGTCTCCAAATGCCTTAAGGCCCTGGAGGGCAGCTCGGTTGGGGAGAAGGCCAGCTCAGGAGACCCCTGCGGCGGACTCGGCTTCCTCCAGTCCCCTTTCACTGGACTCTGTTGGCAGAAAGGGGAGTCAGAGCTGGGTCCTGATTCAACCAGGAACGGCCTCAGGTCCCCAGGGCCATGTGCAAACAATGTCCTCCTGCTCAGGAGACCTCAGTAGGAAATTGGTTGCTAATGGAGTGGGTAGATGTCTGGGGCCTGGGCTGCAGAGGTTCTGGAAAGCCCTGGGAAATAGCAGGGAGGCGGGAGGAACAGAAGAGTGACACTTAGTACCCTTCCTTGTCACAGGCGTTGTCTGTTAGCCCCGGAGCAGACATGGAGGGCACAGGGCGAGATCCAGGGATTTGTATTGAGGCTCAAAGAAGGCAATGTCCCCAGAGTCTTGTGGTGCTGCCACAGTCCATCACCCCGTGCTGGACCACACCCTGAGGGCGTCATGTTGAGTTCCAGCAGCCACCAGGGGCCCGGCAACATCAGCTCACACAGGACGTTGCCGGAAGGCTCGGGGCAGCCTCCTCCAGGCAGCTAGCACCCCATAGGTGCCCATCCGCCTCCTGTGCCAGTGCTGACCGAGGATAAAGCAGAGTAGGATGGATGTCACAAATAAGAAGAGGAGTATTGACACCACTACGATTATGATGACCATCTGGTTGTCCTGCATAGGCTCTGGGGAGGGAAGAGATCATAGGTTTAGAGACTTTCAGGTGCCAGACACCCCAGGGAGTCCACCCACCACTCCTTGCCTACTCATGCATTCCACGGTCAGCCTGGTAGCGGAGAGCAGTGGCCTGAGGTGTCTACCTCGGGAGTGACATATAAGGTAGGTGGCCTCCACTCTAGGCCATCAGGCAGAGCAGACACCCCTCTTCTAGCAGCTCCTGAGCCCAGTATGTAGAGGCTGGACACCATGGCGTTGTGGAATATTAGTTGAAGATGTGTTACATGTGGTTATGCTGTGGAACATTTGTTTAATGATGCAAAGATGTGTTGCGTTCTTTTAGGTTGCATTTGTTTAACTCTGTGAAGCTGTGTTACTTTGCCTATCTAAAACACCCGATTGGTCTAATAAAGAGCTAAATGGACAATAGCTAGGCAGGAGAAAGGTTAGGCGGGGCTGGCAGGCAGAGAGCATAAATAGAAGGGGAAAAAAAAGGAGTGAGGAAAGGAGGAGAGAATGATGCCAGGGGCCAGCCACCTAGCCACCCAGCCACAGCCAGTCATGGAATAAGAAAAGGTACACACGGGGTTAGGGATTTAGCTCAGTGGTAGAGTGCTTGCCCAGCAAGCGCAAGGCCCTGGGTTTGGTCCTCAGCTCCAGAAAAAAAGAAAAGAAAAGAAAAGAAAAGAAAAGAAAAGAAAAGAAAAGAAAAGAAAAGAAAAGAAAAGAAAAGAAAAGAAAAGAAAAGGAAAGGTACACAGAAATAGAGAAAGGTAAAAGCCCAGAGGCAAAAGGTAGATGGGATAATTTAAGTTAAGAAAGCTGGCTAAAAATAAGCCAAGTTAAGGCCGGGCATTCATAAAAACGAATAAGTCTCTGCATGATTATTTGAGAGCTGGGTGGTGGGCCCCCAAAGAGAAAAGAGTAAAAGCACCAACAACACTATGGCCTGGAGGATATCACAGTCATGTTTATACCATGCCCCTTCTCAGGCAGAGCTGAGTGAGTTCCAAGCAAGCTCATTACAGCAGGCTTTGGCCACCAAGTGTCACAGAACAGCAGTGCTCTGGGGAACCTGTGGGTCAGGCCAGCCAGCCTTCTCATTGTAGAAAGGATGGTCATAGCTAGAGAGAGCTCACCACCATGGTCAAGACTACACAGCTCAATGATGGCCAGGCCACAAACTGAGCTCTCCTGGCTTCTGGAAAAGTTAGGGTTCAGCTTGGAACTTGGAGAGACACCCAGCAAATCAGGAAAGTAAGAGGGGAGCCCTCAGGATTCTACATGCACATCAAACCACCCAAGAGTGGGGTTCATGGGTTTTCCTTCCCCACAGTGCTAAGAAGGAGCACCATCTCTGACCCTCTCAGCCCATAGAGTCTCCTTACCGAAGACTTCAAGGATCTGGGACTCTGAGAAGCTGCGGATGATGTGCCCACCATGGGGCCGCAGGTCCAGCTCAGCCTGGCAGGAGAAGTTGAGACCATTCTTTGTTAGAGCTGTGCTGTTGAATATGGCTATGGCCTCATGTTCAGTTCCCTCGAAGGTCTGGTTCTGCAGGCTCTCTCTGCCACGGAGCAGAGTAAGGGTCAGGCTCTCAAGGGGCTTCACAGCTGATACTGTGCACTCAATGGTGAAGGCTTCCCCCACAACCACCCGAGGGGGCTTCAACTTCAGGGTGACCTGAGACGGAGGCTCTGTAGGAGACAAAGAGGGAAGGCCACTCAGGATGGAACTTTGTCCCTGCAGGCCCAACCTGGTCAGGGCCCATCTCCTGCTATCCCAGGTCCCTAGCTGGACTTGAGAGACAGGAAGTGGACTGGGGCTTGGCCAGCTCATTGGAAGGAGGAGGAGGAGGAGGCGGAAGCAGAAGTAAATGGTAGAGGATGTCCTGGGTGCTAGTTCTGTGGGCATGATTTGGAAAATAGAAATGGGGGCTACAAAGAGAAGATCCAGAGATCATAGAGCCAACTAGAAAATCTGGACCGGTCTCCATCCCCTCCAAATACTAAACACAATTTTCCAATTAAAGAGCTGGGTGGCTGTGCTGGGAGCATTTGGAAGGGAGCACTTCCGCACGCGGGCCCTTGAGGAGCTGACCTTGAGGCTGGCTCCTCGTGAAGCTGGGGCAGGGGTCGGGTTGCCTCACTTCTCCAATCAGTTTAACGACCAGCGTAATTCCAGATCCACTGAACAAGGGCTACAGCGGTATCCTGGTTCCCTTTCAAACTAGAACGCCTCTCCTCCACTCACCCCCACCCCACCTAGGATTTAGAACATCTTTCCATTTTTTGATCCATCAATGTCGGTAATGGGTTGCAGTGAAATTCTGGAGGTAAGACATTGCGAGAATCCTGGCTTAGCCCGACAGGTGTGTATACAAGGCTCATACATTGGCCACAGGTCCTTGGGTGTGTGGGTGCGGGTGTGGGTGGGTGTGTGTGACAAAATCGGCACTTGCACTTTTTCTGTATTCTGTAGCAGTTCCTTCATCTCATGGTGCCCACTAGCTCCTCTGATTCTCACTGTTTGTGATGCCCATGGAGTGCTCTGGTGGCTGAACCAGGGATGCCCATGGAGTGCTCTGGTGGGCTGAACTGGGGTAGGAACTGACTTCTAGATCTGTGCAAACCTTGGCCAGGCTGACCTTGGAGCAAGATTCAAAACCTGCACGGTCTGCTTCTGAAGTATAGGAGGAGGACTCATGGAGTCTACCCAAGGGTATAAGCAGATCCTGAGCCCACAGGCCTGACCCGCTTGTGGTTCAGGAGCCCAGGGAGATGAGAGCCATGATGAGAAGACCCAGGAGCAGTCACTGAACAATTTTGGGACTGTATAGTAGACATGGGCTCCGCCCTGGGAGTGGAAGCACATGCATGGACACTCACGGTATACTGTGATGTTGAGATCCGTAGAGTACTGCTCCTTCTCACAGGTGAAATGGCAGAGGATAGTCATGTCATTGGAGATGTTTGAGACTAAGAACTGTTTCCACTTGCCTTGAGGGTGCTGTTCCAACATTATCTTACTCATAGAGGTCTCCAGACCACCCTTTTCCGGATTTTCACAGCTGGTGCTGCAGTTGACTTTCCAAGACTCTGTGGCTTCCACTACATGCTTCTCGGACCATATGTAGACCTCAAACGCCTTCTTACCAGACCCTGTAAGAGCAAAAGCACCAGGCAGCAGATGTCTCTGATGCCCGCCCTCGGGGATCTCCACTACCAGCTTAGCTGTGTGTCACAGCACGGGTGTGTGTTCACGAGGATCCGTGGAATGAAGATTCAGAGGCGTCTTAAGAATGAATCTGGCCTTTCATGGCTGCAGTGGGGTTCAGCCTCGAAGGACTGAAGCACTATCCCTTCGCCTAGGGTATTTTTATTTCTAATTACAGTTTAGCCAGTTAATTTCCATATCTTCAAAGCAACCTAAAAGGAGCTCCCAGAGACCAAATGCCAAGTGCAAATTACTTGATTTCTCAGGTACCATGGTTTTCCAGGTTTCCTGAACCAAGTTTTGCATAGGCCTTTGATCCTTGGGGGACTCTCTGATCCTTGACTCTCAGACAAGATTCATATAGAGCCGTAAGAAAAACAAAAGGTAAGAGAAACAAAAGGTGTGGTTAAACAAAGGAAGGATTAGGACTAGGTGCTGCTCTCTGGAGCCAGGCCAGGAGCTCAGCAGGATTGAGGCCACAACCAGCGGATGTCATTAAGGCTCAAGAAGACAGGTCACCTTTGGTCCCTCTGCCCCATTCCCGGGTCAGGCCCAGTGACTCCTGTGTTCTTTCCTCCAGTCCCTCTGTCCGTCAGCACTAGGTCAATATTCCTCAAGCCTATCTCCAGCTCCAGTTCAGAGTTCCCTCTGTCATGAAGACACCTCTGAGAACGGAGTTAAGCTCTGAGCTCACATAATCACAGAGAACTGTCAGGACGCCCTTGGAGTAGTGGTGAGCTCCAGGCAGAGGGGGGAGGTAGTCGTGGAGGGACTCTTTTTTTTTTTTTTTTTTTTTTTGAGACAGCATTTCTCTGTGTAACAGCCCTGACTGTCCTGGAACTCTTTGGCCTCAAACCTGCCTCTGCCTCCTGAGTGCTAGGATTAAAGGCATGTGCCACCACTGCCCAGAGGGACTCCATTTTTAATAACATGGTTAGTAAAAGATAAAGATAATGGGGTCAGGGATTTAGCTCAGTGGTAGAGCGCTTGCCTAGCAAGTGCAAGGCCGTGGGTTCGGTCCTCAGCTCCGGGGGTTGGGGGGGTGGGGAAGCGGGGGAGATAATGACATTGGGGCAAACATGGAGGGAGGTCGTGACCCCTGCATGCATTGTGGGAGCATGTTCCAGATAAAGGGAGCTGCTGACTCACAGACCTGCCCTTGGCAGCATGCTCTCATGAAGCCATGGAGGGCCAGCATGGCAGCAGCTAGGAAGAGGAATGGGAGAGACCAGGCCAGAAACGGAACAGGCTGCCAGGAAAAGGACCTGTTGTACCAATGACTCATAGTGTATGGTGATGCTCTATAAACATTGTGAAGCTTCTAGAAGGCTGGGCCTGCTTCTCTTTATGCTGACCACACAGCCCTGTGCAAGGCATCTGGTATATGAAGATGGGACCCTCAGCGCTCACCTCCACTCTGTGAGGACCATGAAGGTTCTAGGTCCCAGCCAGCAGGGCCCCTAAGCATGGCCTGTGCTTTCTACCTCCCCACACAGCGCCCTCAGCCGTCGGCTAGCGGTCTGTAAGTGATAAAATAGGGCCTTTCCCTGTGGACAGGGCTGGATTTGAACTCAGCATTCGCCACGCACTGGCTGGGCGGCCTAGGGCTGGCCACAGTCTCTCCCTGGGCCCCAGGCATCCATTGAGAGGGCCTAATGTGCACAGGGTCCTGAGTGCAATCAGGCTTGAAACCACTTGGCAAGGCTGTCTAAGGGACAAGGCACTCACTCGGCGCGTGGCGGGACGGTGTCCTTCCCAGTCTCCTTGACCCACAAAGGGTTTCATTTTCATTTTGTGTCCCAGTGAGCGGTGTCTTCTGCTGCCCTCTGCTGTTCACTAGGCCCCTTCGGCACAGTCTCATCTTCGCTTAGACCCTGGCGTCCCTTCCTGAGTCCCCTACTCACCCGCAGCTCAACAACCAACCTTGGTATCCCTGTCACATCAACATTCTCAGAGCTCTGGGCTTATTCCGTAGAGTAACCGAGAGGCCATGATTCTAGCCACTGCCTGAGGCCATGGGAAAAACCAAAGCCAGGCTGTCACGGTCTTGTGTATCCATGGTGGAGAGGCCCCTGTGGCCAGGATGCCCTCCTCCCCAACCTGAAGCCCAAGGAATAGTGTGAAACTCCCCACCCCAAGATGCCGCGTGCTGGGAACCCTGGGGACCGCTTACCTGAGCAGCAGAGCAGGGCAAGAAGGGTTATAGGCAGGCTCCAGCAAGCAAAAGACACCATCTCAGGTCGGGTCTGTGGGGTCTGTGGGGTCTGTCGGCTCCAGGGGCCCAGCTGATGGCTGCCTGGAGGGAGATGGAGAGATGGAGACCACAGATTGGGGAGTGAAGGCTGGAGCTCGGGCTGAAATCCTCCGTAGTCTTCTCTGCACCAGTGATCTCATTTCCTCTCATTATCTGAGATCAGGAAGCCATATGCACAGGCCAGCTCCCAAGCCTTCAGGCCCTCAAGAATTCAGGCAGAGGAAGCTGGGAAGCAGCTGATAAGCAGGGGTGTAACACGGTCCTCCCACGTGGCTTACTCCCTGTGTAGGGTTAGGAGAGCAATGGGAGCTCACATTCAAGGAGGTATGTGCGGCACTCGGGCATGTGTGCACGCACTTACGTGTGCGCGTGTGTATGTGTGTGTACATGGAATTCCTATTTCTGTGCACAGGGCAGAATGAAGCCTCCAAGGCTCAGATTTGGGGGGAATCTGAATCCCACCGGGCCTCTGCTGTAGTCATCTCTGGGAAGATAATATCCAAAGTGAGAACACAGCAATCTCCTGCTAATGCCCTGCATGTGTCTGCACACCTTAACGTCTCGCTTAGTTTCCAGGAGAGCTCGGCCAATGCAGGGCCCACATGGGTCTCAGAGACCGCAGAAGGGGGGCCACAGTGGTCTCCAGTGGCCTGGGCCCAGGAGTCAGGGAACAGACTGGTGTCAGCCCATCCCAAATCCTAGGCCTCTCTCTGGGCACGTTAGTGCCTTCTTTCCCATCTACTCTTCAGGCAGGCCTTGGTCTGGGAAGGCTAGAGCCTAATGCTTTCCGGGCAGGCTTTCCCACAGGCAGTGAGCTATTATGGGATAGAAGGCCTTCCCAGGCAATGCTGTGCTCACCATGTAGCCAACCTTACTCTCTCAGTTCTTAGATTCTCCAGGACAGGTGGGGCAAAAGCAGGCCTCCCTGATTTCTTGGTGGAATCCCAGGAAGGGCCTATCCCAGGGTTTTGAGGACTTATTATCTAAGATCAGGAAGCCACATGCAAGGCCAGTTCCCAGACTACTGCACCCCCAGAAGTCAAGCAGCGGAAGCTTCACTGGCTCACCCAGTGGCCTGGGTTCCTGGGTTGAAAAGCCCAATGGTGTCTGCTGTTCTCACCACGCTGGGTACTGACTGAGTCTCAGCACTGAGTATACAGCTCTCCTCCAGTGCAGATGATGTCAGCCTGGACCCAGGGTTCTCACCACGCTGGGTACTGACTGAGTCTCAGCACTGAGTGTACAGCTCTCCTCCAGTGCAGATGATGTCAGCCTGGACCCAGGGTACTCACCACGCTGGGTACTGACTGAGTCTCAGCACTGTGTGTACAGC